CAATACCTGAAATAACTTATCTATATTTAAGGTATATTTTAGTATACCTTATTATAACTTGTAGAGGGTATCTTAACATTATCATAACATATCGTTATATATATATATTTTCCCCAGTGTATTTATTAACCCAAATGTGAGCGAGATCAAATCATACTGCTGACCGTTGCTACATATTTGCCAAAGTGACATATGTGTATATATCGTGCACATGTTTATATTATATATTTAAATATACATGAACTATCATCATATAATTTCTATTCTATTATATATATTTTTATATATATATATATATATATATATATTTGTTCAAGCACACACCATATTTAATAACTATATTTTGTTCGTTTTCTGGCTGTATCGTTTGTTGGCTTTCAAGGTTAGCTTGGGTGGGCTTTGCGGTGTTTTTGGTGCTTTTCGTGGCCATTTCGGTGCATGTGGACCCACAACCTTGAACCCATGTCGTTTTATGTGCCATTCTGGCAATCTAAAGCGCTTAGTTAGTGTGAATACTCCCCATCCAATGGTGTCTAGGATTAGAATATTTAAATGCGCCGAGGCAGAGAAGTGTCTGGGATAGATAACAGCTGTCAAAAGCCATAACATTTAAATATCAGTTTAATAAGTTATGGTCAAATGTTATGCAGTCAAAAAATATATGAAAGTTTAATAAGACAAGCAGCGCATTTCATTAATAACAACTATGAACTAGCCCCCACTCAAAAATAAATAAATAAAATCAAATAAATTCTATGAGAATTTAGAATATGTTTGTTCTAGTTTGATTTTTTATAAATGAAAAGATATCTGGGCATTATATTTTTGGAAGGGCTTGGTCCGGCTTTCATCTCATAAAATATATGATTGTTTATTATTTGGTGACCTGTTTTTAGAATTTAAATATGTGTTTCGCTGACTCTAGGTCAAGTGCTTATATATATTTTTGTTGTTGATACATTTCGAATCCCGTCGAGATTCGTCTTCAGAAAGACATTCACCATTCCAGTTTAGTTAGATGTGGAGATTGAAAAATTCAAACCTGGAGCCAGCGAAAAACATATTTTAAATATTGAGAAAAAAAATGTGTAATTTGCTTGTGCTAATGTCAAAAACTTATGAAATTAAAAGCTATAAATCTCGGCCGTCTGACGCACTTAATCTGTATCAATAAACAATTCAATTATTTCGGCATGTTCCATTTTTGTTTACGATTTCTGTTTAATTCTTTAATTGCAACAACTGTTTCGAATGGGGAATGGCAACAATTGTGTTGTTGATAGAATTGGAAATGCAAAGCTCTGTTCGTAGCTGATAGCAACAAAACGATGGTGATATGCCTTTAAAATCGAGAATTTTATGAAACATCCACGGGTTTTTCCATATGCCTTATAAAATGCAACAATCTCGTCGGAAAGCAAGCAATTAAATTTATCTGTTGCGAGGCATATGTTTAATATACACATGCATAAATATATATATATACATGTATAAATATATATATTGCAATTTCCATAACTCATAGCAACAGCAAGAAAATGTATGCCGTGTGATTACGTCAAGACCTGCAGCACTTGCCACGTTTAAAACAAATACCCCCAACAACAATAACAACAACGAAACTCGATTGAAGCTCGTGGCATATACTTTGCATCACTAAAAAATAAACAAACAAGTTTTTATTGATTGCATATTTTTGCATTTGAATTTATTTCAATTATATCTATATTGTCGTGACTTAAATGTTCTGGCTCTATTTTACAAATACAATCAAAAATAATAATAAGAGCTGCTCTGAGCTCGATTTCAGTTTTGGAAGTTCCAGGAAGTTCCACGTGGAGAAAATTCTTGTTTCATTTTTGTTAATTTAAGACTTAAATATTCCTTCGATTTTTAATGCATTTTAAATGCCGTTTTTAACAGCTTTTTTATAGTATTGATAATTTTGGAGTTGCGTTTTTAGGGTTTGGCATTTCAAGAGTCAAGAGACTTGTGTGTCTTATAATGATTTTTGTAAAAAGTTTTCGATTTAAACTGAACAATAAGCAGCAAATCTAAGTGGACTAACTTCTAACATCCTATCCCTCTATATATATACTTGGGCAGCTGTGTATTTCTGATGATGAAATATAAACAGATTAGGCATTACAACTTTTATCTTTTATGGCAAACATAAGAATCGGAATAATTTACTCGCTGTGAGAGTATATCTTACACGGTTCAATGTGCTCGAGATATATACTAAACATTCTTGTCTATTTTCTTTGGCTTCCTGCATGACTGTTGTATTGCGCTTGCCTAAACTAATTTAGCACATGATTCTCTTTGTTGTGGCAAATAACAAATATTCACAGACATTTCGCATTCATTTGCAAGCCAGAATGTTCAATTATCATATTTAATTGGAATTTGCTACGCAACCGCGGAATGTTGACACCGTCTGCACTCCAATTGTCAATTAGCACCGTTAATTGATTTTCGGAGGTGTGTGATTTTACTTAGTAGCCTATAAACTTGGCCGATACAAGTTTCAGTATAGTTTGCATTCTTTCCTCCCACACACTTAAATGAATTTGTTATAAAGCCTCCCCCCGATTGTGGCAAATTGAACAGCTTGCCAAGTCATTTTTCAACAGCAAACATGACCACAAGAAATTCACAATCGCATTCACACACAGATACACACACACACACACACACACACATGCTGCAGTGAGTCATGTAAATGTTCAACATTGCATAGCACATGGTCATGAATTCGATGATGGCAGTGTGTTCAGCGTTCAGTGTTCAGTTCAGGGCGAAACTGAAATTGGAAGAGCGTGAGATGGTCAGGGCCGTGTTGAATTTGGACGCTGGTCGCTGAATAGCCCTCAGGTAGGCGTGCGAAATATTAATTGGTCGGTTGCTTGTTTGCTGCCACACACAAAAATCAGTAAGAGCTCACTCACAGTCACCAGGTGTGCCCATACACACACACACACACACACACATGCGTATGCGTCTCATTTGCATGTAACTGTTGAGTCGCGGATTGCAGCAACAAATTCAAGTCACGGAAGTCATGGGGAACAACGGTATACGGTATACCCCAGGTACAGTGAAAATAACACAATTGTCGAGCAAAGACGCATTGCAAATGCAACTCAAAATTCGACTCACTTTTAGAATGAATTCATTTAAAGTCAGTCATTTTTAAATGCAGTCTTTAAATCCACCCACAATTGGTATACAAAACATGTTGCAACTGTTATTAACTATTCGTTGTTAGTTTTTAAACATTTGGTTAATGTTGCTTTGTTTTGTTTACAGAAATAGAAACTTCTCAGACAGGCGACCCAATTAACAATAAACTTAACAACATTTTTATAACTCATTGTGCCACTGTGCGAAACTCGCATCAACATTTAACAAAGAAGCACAGAAAAATTGAAGAGAACGAAGACTATATACCCTTGTAGGTATGTCGAGAAAAACGTTCAAAATATCGACTATACAATATTGTAAACTATATATTTAATAAAGTTCGGGCAACAATAAAGATCAGTTATGCAATCCAGCCAACTGCTATACAGATATTTAATGTATATATCAACAGGAAAATGACAAATACAAATTTGGAATGTCGCCCGAGTTTAAAATATATTTATATATACACCCAGAAGAAAACATACCATAATATATCTAAGAAAATATTTGATTATATAAATTGAAATGTTTCGTTTTGGAAATTATTACGAACATTGTCGTTGCAGAAGCATATATTGTTTATATGCGTGGCAAGAAAAGTGCAATGCCCTCGACAAAGCGTATAAAAATAACTAAGGCTTCTGACAACTTGTGCAAAACAAAATGGGAAAATGCAAATCTAATTGCCAACAACAATGCCTAAGTTCATTGGTCAGCCGACCAGACCACAAACAAAACCAAAAACAACAGCAGCAACAGCAGCGGCAGCAACAGTAGCTGATTGCTTAAAGGCTTAGCAGCAAACTGGAAGCCAACTTCACAGTTGCAATCATTGCTGATAACAGCTAGTTAAAGGGGAAAGGCAACGGGGGAATGGGAAGTGGGGAGAGGTGCGGGCCAAGAAACAGCTGCGCGTGCAATGCAAGTGAGTAAGTAAATTGTCAACTGGCTTGGAAAGTTGACGCGTGCAGGCAGCAAATAAACAAACGGAACACTTCAGACGGGCAGCAGCAGCAGCAGCAGCAGCGACCGCAGACGTCGACGGCGACAACGACGCTTAAATGTAGGACAGCCAAGCCGCAGACGCAAGGTAAAAGAAGAAGCATCAGCGGTGGGCAGAAGCAGAAGCAGAAGCAGAGGAAGCAGTCACTTTGAGGGAAAGTTTAGCAATTTTGTTGGCTTATTTTGATTTAGCTGCTGTCATTGTTGTTGTTGTTGTTGTTGTTGTTGTTGCCGCTTGCTATGCGGTTTTTTTCTGTCTGTTTATCGATTTGTAGATCGAGCATAAAAATAATCGCTATCGATGACTTTGCATTAAGCCAAGACACTCAGCTCGAGACAGCGTGAAACTGGCCACCTTTTTTTTTAATACCCTCTTCTATTTGAATGTTTTGCTTTGGTTTAGATTTGGCAAGGGAAAGTTTTTTGGCCGCGAATTTGGCAAATTGCGTTAAGCATAAAAGGTAATAGATGATGTGAGAAAACAAATAAGGTAGGTGAACATTTAGCGGATCTTGCTAATTTTGTCGAGACGTGTTCGAGACTTGCCTATGCACAGATTAAAAAGATGACTAGAATCCACTGGAGAAAATCATATTAGATGCAAAAAAAAAAAAAGCTTTAAACTTTCAACACAAATATCTATGTTAAGTAAAAATATTAATTAAAATTGAAATAAGAAAAAAACATATCTTTATGAGTGATAAATTCATTTTTCTTCGACTTATAAGGTATAATTGACCTGTAACTGACCTGTAACAGCTGAATAGATCTACATATAAATATTATATATATAAATAAATTGGACTCACCCGTCGTATACCCTGCAAGTAGTATTATTGATGCGTTTGTCAGACGCTCGTCGTCGCCGATCCTCAAACAGATCCTTGACGGCCGTCACGCCCAGCACAAAGATGACAGGAATCATGGCCACCTCCTTGCCAAAGGCATTGATGGCCGGCACCCAGTTGAGCAGCACAATGAAAATGAAATACAGATTTGCAACGCGATGGAACTGCTCCAGCAGATTTTTCGGTATGAACGAGAGCAGCGTGTATTTTGTTGTGCGTATTTTGTTGCCCACAAATTGACCGTTGGGATGCTCCCGTTTGGGTGTCTTGGGCGGCACTGTGTGATTGGGCACCACCATGCGATAGCTGCGCTCCTCAAACTTATCGTTGGTGTTGTAGTTGCACAGACTGATGCGTTTCCACCACGGCGGCGCCTCGGTGCGCCGCAACGTGTAGATGGATTCGGAGCGGGATGCCTGTCGGGAATGGCCACGACCGCTAGTCGCCGAGCTCGGCGCCGATGGGCCGAATTCGCGCTCCCTGACCGGCTCATCCTTGTGGCCAGGTGGCAGGATGAAGTCCGTTTTGGAGCCGACACGACTGTGGCCACGACCCGCTGGCGCACCACTACCGGGCGGCGAGTCCGTAATCTGGCCCTGCGAGAAGGCACGCTGGTGGCCCTTCATGGCCGACTTTATGGGACGACCGCCAGCACCGACAGCAACAATAGCGCCCCCACCATGACTGACTGAACGCGCATGTCCACCGCGCGAGGGTCCGGCCGGGTTTAGAGTGCTGTTGCCGCTGGATATGATGGCCACGCCCGGTATGCCTGGCCCACCAGACATGCTACCTGCGACTGTATTGCCCACCTGATGTGTGCCCGGAAAGACATAGGTGCGCTCCGGCTCTCCGTTGGCCCCCATTACCATGGGTGTTGTTGTCATCATTGTGTGGAGATGTTGCTGTTGTTGTTGCTGCTGCTGTTGCTGTTGTTGTTGTTGGGCGAGAGTGTCGCTGACCAGGTTGGGTGGCGCGGAACGTTGTTGCTGCACAACGAGAAACTTTCGCCGCAAGTCTTCGGTGTTTGTTGAAGGCATCTTCGCAGGCCAACACCATTAGGTGGGCCCCAGTTGTTAGGTGTCGTGTGTGCGTCGGATACAAATTAGTTCTTGGGGTTTTGGGTTGCGGGAACGGTCCAATTAGCACCTTACGCCAGTGCCGTTCCCGTCGTTTGCGTTGACGCATCAGCCGCAACCAACATGACTACTACCTGAGAAGTTAAATATAAAGAGAGTGTGAACTTTAGTTAGGGTCTCAAAATAAACAGATGCTCATCTTACAAGCTTGACAAACATTTATTTAAATTGCTTTTTACTTGGATTTTATACCCTAAGCCCATCATATCAAATAAGTGAAAGGGGTATACTAGTTTTGTGCAAAAGTATGTAATAGAAACAGAAGAAAGCATCTGCGACCGCATAAAGTATATTCTTGAGCAGCATTAACAGAGGAGTAGATTGAGTGTGCAGGGTATCTCGTAGTCGAGCATTCAAATTTGTTTTGCTTTTTGCAAAGGTTTATCGAACCCGTATACACCCTGTACACCCTGTACACACTGTGCACCCTGTGCTCCCGCGCTTACGTGTGCTCCAAAACGTGGCCTTGATTTAAAGCTTCCGATAAGCTGCCATAAAGCGTAAAACATCACGAAATTGAAACACCAACAGCAACAACAACCAACAAAAAAAAAAAACACAATCAAAAAACTGAATGGCCCACAAGGTCAAAGAGTGACGCGAGGTTATGCAGAATGTATATGGACTGAAGTGTGGCATTATGTTTAAAGCCAAGTTGATCGATGGCCGGCCAAATACATAGTTCACGGTGTGCCCAGATATCATGAGCGAACCTTATCAATATAATTAATCCGGTCGAACTTGGAGAGCAGCATCTCTTGAAATTAAAAATAAACTTCATCCGACTTGGCTAAATAACATGTTTATCAGCAACTCAAAGAATTCAAATGTGTTACATCATTTTATAACTAAAGAAGCTCGTCAGCGAACTCCAAACGAGGCAAAGCATTCGAATGAATTGTTTGATGTTCGTGCCACAAATCAAACGAGGCATGCGCCCAAGTTTTAGGAAGCCACATAAGCGGGCGGCAGAGCATGAAAATTCAAATTGTATTTTTAAGTATAAATTGAAAACAAATATTACCGCTATACTCGAAATATTCGCAAAAAACAAAAATCGACTGTTTAATGTATTTTATACAATTGTCTAGGTATATAGTATACATATATTTATGGATCATTTGGACATTGCTCAAAAACCAAAATTAATTTACGGGCGTAAATTTATTTTCATTTATTTTTGCCTACAATTTCTTCAAATAAACAAGCAAACTAAATAATCGAATAAATTCGAAAACAACTTTGCAACTTGACTTGTCAATTTATACAATTTATTATCTTGTATTTGAATTGTTGAGCTCAATAAGAGCGTATAAATGGCAATTTATACTTCATTTCTTCGAGTGATGAATAAATTTCATTAGTGTTTAACAACATTTACGCATACATACAAATTCAAATTGACAAATACACACGTTCTTTGTACTACAACAACAAGAAACCGCATGTCGACACGAAAATCTAAATTTGAATTTGGCACACGCCCGTTTTTCTAGACTTTTTCATGTTTGTATATATGTACAACCACGGGGCATTTATGTATAACGCAACGGGTAATGCAATTCTGTATTTAGTATATAGAACATATAGTAAAAGGTAAAAGAAACAAACTGCGTAAGTAAAATTGTACACTCAGAAAAAAAAAACCAACCTGAATTTTAGAGATTCGCACCAAAATGAAAATCGAACTGAAAACTAGAAAAATTATAGGAATATTTTTTCTTATTCAGAATTCAGAACATTAACGTTAACATTGATTAACATGTTTTTAAAATTTGATACAAAGTCGACGCTTGGAAAGGGTAAAACTTAATTCACTCATGAAAAATCAATTAAACAATTGTCTGGCCCAACGCGTCAGCATGTTCTAAATAAACAAAGAAAGTATAACGAGTCAAAGAGTTCAGTGCCTTCTTTAATTTTAAACTGTCTGTCTGAAGCCAGCATGCAATCTTATTAAATGAAGAACGCCTATAACACCTCGAAAAAGGGTATAATTATCTATAAATATCTAAAAAAATATATATGGTATACTTGTAGACATTTTCATTGATTTAAAGCTTAGGTTAAATCAATTTTTAAAGTTCAACTTTGACAAAAACAGAGTGAATGACATTTGAACTCAACGTCGATTATCTTTATAGCCTTCAATTCAATTTGCTGATGTAAAAAGTAAGTTTCGAATTTATGTCATTTTATTATTGTCCATTTAGAACTAATTTGTCGTGCCAAAAACCCATAAAAAACAATACGAAAGCTACAGCCACCCTTATAAAAGTAATTAAAGAAACAATGTGAAAAGCACGACCTTTTTTTTGGCAAGTCAAGGTATTCTGACTCGCGTATCCTTTTCAACAAAGCCTGAGATTAAAATACAATAGAATGTGATAGAAAAAATCGCCGTGAATTTTGGAAAATCGCTGAACTTTTGTCGGCAAGGCTAAATCACGTTGTTATTCAGAAGGTAAATTGTTAAAATTTAAGGTTTTTGGGGGTTTTTCTATTCTTAATTGCGCTTTACATGTGCACGTATAACTTTTACATTACCTTTTTTATTATTTGATTAATAAGATATAATAAATACAAACATTTCAGACTAAGTTTACATCAATTAATTAAAAAAATAAAAACAAATAAACTCTAAAATTACAATCGAGCGAGCTAATTTAATTACTATTTTCTGAATTTCAAAGCAATTTTTTTCTAAAAATAAAGGTTTACATTTCCAGCTTTTAGAAATAATTAAGAAATATATTTCTACGAAAAACCTTTTAGTTTTCTAGTGATTTTATTCAACTCAGGACGTTTTTCTAGAGCGCATATCTGTAAATAATTATAGCTAGTTTGTCCAAGTGGCAAATTGGTTAGACACTAGCTGGTTATATTTAAAGTGAATCTTTTGGGTGCATGATACGCATACTTGCCCCGATTTAAACTGATAGATACTCGTAAATTGGCGTTGGTATCTCGCAACGCAACCGCGCACTAACTAATTAGTTTCAAGCACTTTAATCAGTTGATGTGTGCTGACTTCAAAGTGCTGTGCCCCGTACTGACAATGTGGGTTTGCTCGGGTTGCGGGTCTCCCCCTACCCGCTTCGCCCCACAACGCCTCTTCTGATTCCGGCCGCAAATGGACTTTATTTTTAGCAGACAGATTGGGCAGCGCACATGTGGAGTAAACTCTAAAGATAAGCAATGCCAAGCCCAACAAAAGATACAAACAATACTAAAGCATTACATTGCTTATCAATAAGCCTCAGGCAATGGGCATTTAAAAACAATTAGTGCGTTATAGATTTATATATATATCTACAATGCAGCACAACATCTGCTTTGATTCCATCCAACTTGGGCATCTACACTTTTGACGTTTGGTTAATATCGAAAATATCAAAGAACCGTTTTGTGTGTTGTTATGTGTGAGAATATCGCTGATTTGTATGTACTTAATATATGCTTATTTTGAATATGAAATATACATATGTACTTGTATTTATTGCTGCACGCTTGAATGCACAACCCAGTTCAATCAGCGATTCATCTGGCATTGAGACTACACTTATGGACTTGGCAATTATATAGTCATTTATACACTTATAATTAATAATTATATAAAAACAAGTCAAGACATCAATCTTAGATACGCCGAATATAAAATACTCTTTTTTAAAATACAAAATAAATAAAGCTATATGATAGTATTCCATTAATAATGATTCTGTTTTCCAAATGTTAGGAACATAATAACAGTCTTATTAGGTGAGTTTGGATATGGATATGACTATATCCACTTGCCAGGCGCCCACTTAAAATCCGAGGTTATTAATTAATACTGATAATTATAGTATAAATATAAAAGTAGCAAAGATATCGGAACGCAAAATAATTCATAAAATATAGCTTAAGAAAGCAGTAAAGTCTTTAATGAAAAGATATACAAACAGTTGTTAGAAAAAGTTGCAAAAAAAATATACATTCCACAATTTTCTGTTTCTATTGATCTGTCTAAAGGTATATATACTTTTTATAGCTTTGTGAGCACGGAGCAGTCTCCAACAAACAACCTTTGTATATACATAAATAATTCGGACTATAATACAGAATATTTGCTAGTCGAGCAGGTTTTGCAGATCGTGAAGTTTGCAACGCTTTGTTGGAGGCATCTCCAGCAAATATTCATATTGCACATATAGATAATCGCGTAAATATTAATGACCTGCTTTCAATTCGCTGATGAAAGGGACACAAAAGATTTACGGACGTAAAAGTGATTTTAAAACGCAAATAATTGTTGTAATTAGCAAAAAGATTGATAATCTCAAATGATGGCAATGAACGTTTACAAACAATATTAAGATTAACCAGCTATTATATATATTAAAAGGGATCTTAGACATAAATGTTGGTAATTAAGAGTTGTTGAAATGTAACTATTTCGGATTAAGCTTTTCTGTGGTTTATATCGACTCATCTTAAGACGAAGATATTAACAACATTTAATTTATTACGTGTTTTACAATTTTTAAGGGTTTCGAAAAAAAAATTAAACATAAAAATTTAACTATGTACAATTAAAAGTGAATAGTTAAATTTACATTTAAAAGGAAAAACAAAATATAATAAAAACTTTAACAAATCTGGGGATTATAAATGGAAAATGGAGAAACTACAAAAAACCCATTCATAATTGTAAAATTTTAGTAATAGTAATAGAAAAATATGTCTGAAATTAAATAATATTACCCAAAAACATATATTTTGGCTATGCATAATATATATAGTTTATTATGCATCACCAAACGGCACAGTTTAATTTTATTTCTATATGTGAAATGCATGTTTTCAACTCATAAGCAGAAACTACAAGTCGGAAATGCCGGTAAGGTACATATATTTTTTGAAGAATGCGTATATTTGCCAAAAATGTGCGCTGTGTTTACAAATAGAGCATATTTCAAAAACTTAAATGTATTATGTGGTGTTTATTGAATTGAAGACGAATTGACAGATAAACAATCGGTATGGGCATTTAAAATAATAGCAGCACAAAAACCAATAGTTTATTTGAGAACATTTCGGTTTATTCTACGCCGCGTATTTGTTAGAAGCACAATTTTTGATTCGTGGTTACCCAATTTGTCAGTTTGTTCAGCTTGCCGTATGAAAAGTTAAAGCACTTGAGCCTTGCCAGCTGTTCCCCCTTTAAACGGTCAAGGGATTAATTTTCAAATTAACAAATGTGAGTTGTTTTTCTTTTTTTTTTGGCCGATTGGTAATGAGTCAGTCAGATAACTGTGTGCAATTACAAAAATAATTGATATGTTTGTATGGTAAATGTTCAATGTACCTTTGCAATAGAGTTCTTTTAAGGCATTTATATCATTCACTCTTTGAGTATGCGTACAACATTCATTGGGTATTATCTGTGTTTAGTTAGTGCTAAGTAAGAATTTGTACAAATATTATTATACATATATATGAATAAGATCTAGCAATGTCTCTTTAAATATAATATTTGGTTTTAAATTAAACTTTAGATTTATAGCTATTATTTATACATTATATAGCTAAAATGGGTTGTGACTTTAAGTACACAGAGTTAGCACGTTGGAACTAAATAACTAAAAATAATTAAACAGCAAATTGCAACTTTAAAGCATATTGATTTTATGTGCTGAATCAACTGATCAGTCAGCTTTGACATATTGAAGTCAAATTTATCGGCACATATAATATATATGTAAATGTACATTTATATAAGCCATCTTATTCATTATCGATAGTGAAATAATGTATAGCGAATCGCAATGAAACAATGCGATTCCAGTTGCGAGGCGTTGCATGTGACACCAAATGGGAACAGTTGCATGGGCGCGTGAGAACAAAAAGTTGCACGACTCAATAGCAATTGTAGAAAGGAGGGGGGCGGGCGGCGCCGAAACATTCATTTAATTAAGTTTTGTAGAAACGCTACTGGGGACTGGACTCTGTTGCTGACAACACCTAAAGCAATTTGGCAAAAATAAATTAACATATTAATTAATTCAATTAAATTACTAAACAACTCTAGATCTGATTCACATTTGACTCGATTTGTCATGCTTATTCAAATTTATGCGCAAACTTAAGGTACTTTTACTATTTAATATTCAGATTAGCAAACGCAGAAGTTTTAATTATTTGAAAAATAAGTTGGAGTCACCGAAAAACATATTTCAATTAACAAAATAATTCACTAGAAAGAAGAAGAAAAACACATCTTGAAAAACTTTTGATTTTCAAAATAAAAGATGTAAATGCAAATTTTTAGATAGATTTGGTTCAATGTGCAGCGGAATCATTCTTTCACTTTTACTGTCATTATTCAGTCATTAAGTTTGTGGCAGCGTAGAATGGCAGAAAGAGTGCAACAAAAAGCAACAGAAACGGGTAAGCGTATCAAAAACACTAAAAACGATTAAACTGAGGCAATTAATCATGTTCGGCAAAAACCAACCGGATACTTGGACGCCTAACAAAAACGGATGTTAGAAATTCGCCTATATGCACATATAGATTTGAACATATGCCTACGTGAATACTAACAAAGTTTGAGTTCAACTTGAAGTGATTTTTAAATGGAATTTCCAACGCTGTCAATTTATCAGCAACGAGGAAATTCTCTTTGAATCGACACGCGTATAAAAACCACACAGCGATATGTGGATTGTTCACAACAAATTCTTAAATTTATGTACAATCTTTTTGATGATTGTTAAAAATTCGAAACAAAAAAAATGTTAACCGATTGTTGAAGGAAATATCTTTCGGGATATGGCAACAATATTTAAAACTGCATATATATATATATATATATATATATATATATATGGACATATTTAGAGTGATCAAAATATATTTATATATATATACCCATGCCCAGAAACAGCGCAATTCTGAACTGATAACGAATTTCGCTGGAAATGATTACACCACGTTTTGTCCAGAAAATCAGCCAGAGGCTGCTTTATGGAACATACAATAAAAGGCAAACCCAATTTCACCATTTTCACTGTTCGTGGTTACAAAATTTGTCTTTTAAAGATCAAAACTGAATTCGACTGGGGAAGAATTGGATTGTCAGTGAAAGGATGGTTGTTAATTAATGAATTTGCGATGCGTTAAGGGTAAAAGCACAATAATAATGCATGCCAAATAGACACAAAGAGGTACATATGTAAATGCATATATTGTTTTTTATTCGTATTGTGTACATATTTGGTATTTTACTAGTACCCGAATGCGGTCATTAAAATAGACAAATAATGGAAATAACTACTAGTCGTAAAACCAGCTCGAAACTGTTAAAGGCAACAAATGGAACGAGTGCAAGTACATACATACACACACATATATATACAAACATACATAGATATAAATCTGTGTGTGCGTGTGTGTGTAGCTCAAGTGGTTGGAGGTCTGGCGTGTGCTGCCGACTGCTACTGCACCGGGAATTGGAGTCAATTGGCTGCGCCACGTTAACGGTTACCGGGACTGCGCAAGTGAGAGAGACAGAGAAGAATAACAAGAAGAAGAGGGAGACAGTGCAAGATCGCCAAATAGATTGCCGAAGCAAAGAGAGAAGAAAAAAAACAATGACAAACGCAAAAGCCGTTAACATGTTCCTCTTCGCAATGTGCAGATGCTCAGTAAGAAAAAATACACAAGTGGAATGCTAAAAAATTATTCTTACGTGATTAAGAAGCGGTTTTAAATATAATATTTATCAGTTTGCCACATTCTTTAAGCATTTTTATTTACCCGTTGTTGATATCTATGTATGTTCTGAGGAAATGGAATAAATTTGCAGCAGTTGCTGATCAAATCAACCCGATATTTGTTGTTGCGTATTTCTTCGAGTGTTGTTGTCACGGATGCAATTAGCAAAGCAAATGGCCGTCAAACAAAAGAAACTCTGAGAACAGAAAACAGAGCACCGTGTGACAAACGAGAAAAGGTAAAGGTTTGGTGTATTTAATCGTACCCAGCTGAATGCCACACTTTATGCCTTTATGTCGGCCAACTTACGATATACATTACGAGACAATACTAAACTTTTGGACAAAAGCAATTCCATAACCAAAAATGTACTACTTGTCTTTCGCAAAAAAGTTATTCATGTATATTCACGTAGGCAAACAAATGTCGGCGGCATGTTTTATATTTTTTTCGTGATTCTTTATAATTAGTTGTAGCACTGTGCGATGGGACAACGATGCCAGGAAATCAAAGCTAGATATGAGCTGAGACTGGCTTATATGAAACTTTTTTCCACTTGCATAATTATTGCTGGCTGGAAGATAAATAGGAAAGACGCGACAGTTACCAATCTTCGGTTTCCAGTTAAGCATATTTCAAAACAACTCAATGTTGATCATACATACATTATCTTACTGATATGTAACTCTTGTTAACATTGTTATGGCAACAGGGTATAAAAATAAGTCGGTTTTGCCTCGCATGTGTCTGTTATTCTTTTTTCGTATCGAATGCCGGTTGACGATTAGTAGCACATCAAAGAGCTAGAGCGAGAGGGACAATGTTGCAATCTTGGAAACAACATGACAGCATGAGTGCGAGCGACGTAAGCGAGAGAAAGAAGCTGGGACACTGCGAAAGAAGTCTCGCTCGTTAGGGGGAGTAGGCGAGGAGTAACTGAACAAAAGAGAGAGGAACTGGTTCTTAGCAACCAACTCGTTTTACGTTCAACTTACATTTGCAATAAAGAAAAAAAAAAAAAAATAGACAATTTAGCAGATAAAAAACTCGTTTCTTGACACTTACCCAATGAAAACAAATGGAATCCTCTTGACGTATATTTATTTATGTTGATATGATAATTCTTCAAGTCACTTTTAAAATTGATTCCGTTCTGCTTTCTTCCAAAACACAAACACACAAATATACAAATATTTTTTGCTATTTTTATATATAAAAAGAAAACAAATTTGAGCATAAGCAACAAAGAAGAACAAAAACAACTGCAACTGCAACAACTGAATTGAAAACGTCAATAAATTTGCAATATAATTTTAATTGACAACCATTGGCAATAAATGAATTGAATTATGTTTTATGCCCTGCAATAATATCGCACCACTCATAAATATTTGTTCGCAAGCGAACCGCTCACTTTTTCTCCCGTTTCCCGCTCAACACGTTTGTATATACATATATATATTTGTATTTATATATGTATTTCTCAAGTGGCACGTTGGAACTAATTTTTAAATTTTGCCACGAATTTGCGGTCGCTGTTGTTGCTGTTAAGAATTTCAATACAATTTTGGCCCAAATTGCATTTTCACTTTTTTACACACGCACACACACTGCACAAGCACATTAACACATGCTCACACACACACACACACATGTAAACAGTGGTTATGGGCACTATTTTTGTTACTTGAATTATTATCAATTAAAACTTGTAAGAATTTACATTGCAACGTGTTCTTGCCTCTCAGCGTTACGAATGCAAATGATTTATTTGTTCGGCAACTCAAGAAAACAACAAACGACGCCAGAAAATGAATAACCAAACAATAACAACAACCGCGTCCGTCTCGTTCAATGTTTTTTTTTTGACTGAACAAAACTTCGTTTCGTCATCGATGAACATTTGTCTTGGCGAATCGATGTATCGAGAACTTTCATAACAATATCGATATATCGATAATAAATATATGCTAAATTTGATAGTAAGCAAATGTTTAATGGTTGCCCAAAACTGAAAATTATTAATAAAATTGAATAGCCCATATGCAATATTTTTCTTATTATTATAAATGTTCAAAAAGCTAACTATTTTTATAACTATTTCTTTAATTTTAATTGGTTTGAAAACAAAGCATGTCAAACTCCATTTACATGTTACATGTCGGGTAGTTAACAAAAATTAATAAATACGTTTTTGGCTTTTACTTTAAAGCAGCCCGCTAATTCCGGCATGTGCGGAAAAGCTGATTGCTACGCACACGAACAAATCGAGCGAGTGCACAATTCTGTAAAGCTAACAGCTGTTCAATGCAGTGGTAAAATTTTGGTATTTTCAAGCGAGTACAGAAAATTGTATTGAACGAAAATTGTTGTAAAAACGTCGTCAACGTCGCAAAGTGAAAATCGTAGATTTTTGTTAGGATCAGTCGCAGCTGCATACTAATTAAGAAAAAAAGGAAACCGCTAACAATGAATGAAGAATACGACGCGATAGTGCTAGGCACCGGCCTCAAGGAGTGCATATTGAGCGGCATGCTCTCCGTTTCGGGCAAGAAAGTCCTGCATATTGATCGCAACAAATACTATGGCGGCGAGTCGGCCTCGATTACGCCGCTGGAGGAACTCTTCCAGCGCTACGGCCTGAAGCCGCCGGGCGAGAAATTCGGGCGTGGTCGTGACTGGAATGTCGACTTGATACCCAAGTTCTTAATGGCCAATGGTCAATTGGTAAAACTATTAATACACACGGGCGTCACCCGTTATCTTGAATTCAAGTCGATTGAGGGCAGTTACGTTTACAAGGGTGGCAAAATTGCCAAAGTGCCTGTGGATCAAAAAGAGGCGCTCGCATCCGATCTCATGGGTGAGTTGATTAATCTCCATGCACAAAATATACCCTAATCCAAATTACATTCCAAGTAATTTATCTGTGAAAGCTGTGGAAAGGCATACAACAGACACACATGCATACTTAACTGCGAAAATTTGTATGTACATACACATATTTCGCTCTCTTTTACACTCCTGCCCCCTTTTTGCGTTTTCTCCATATTTCTTTGTCTCGGCTTACATTCATTCGGCGATTGGCACTCACTCGCTGGTGTTGTTTTTGCTTTTTGACTGTGACACGTACTTTGTAGTTGCCCTGCTCTGTGTGTGTGTGTTCTATGAGTATAAGAATGTGTCTGTGTGTGAGCGCATTTATTAATGCTGATTTTTCTGCACACTTTTTTTTACACAATGTGCTTTTGTATTCTGCTGATGCTAGAAATGAGCGTGTGTAAAGAGAAAGAGATAGATTATTAAACGTTTATCTTTAGCAACTTTACAAATACATTTCTATATAAATTTGATGCCAATTAGAATATGGTGGAGTTGCCAGCTGTTTGCCAGCTATGTCTGCTATGTGGCAACTCTGCGGCGCAGACCTTTTAACCAATTAACCGCTGAGCGCTGATTCATATTTTTCTACACAATACCTGATTAATTATTGCTTTGGTTATTGTTGTTACTTTTACTGTATCCCATTTTGTTGTAGTTTTAAATTGATTAAGTAATAATGACTAACAACGCACTTACCAAATCACGCGACTTTTTATGATTGTATTTTTTATGTTTTGCAATTGCCAGTAGCGAATTTCTCCCCGTTTCCTTTCTATTGCTGCTTTTGTTTGTGGAGCAGGCTCGCTGAAAGTACATTGAACCCCTTTTTTTTATGACGAGCCTTCGGGCGGATGACGTCATTCAGCTGGTGGTGTCCTAGCCCACAAAAATAATATATATCTATGTATGTTTTAGCAGTGTAAAGAAAGAAACAACAACGCCTAAATAAATATCCTGTTTCCCGTGGTTTCAACTTTAATATTAATTAATATTTGTATTTGTGTTTGTGTTTCGTTTTGACTCGCAGGCCTGTTTGAGAAGCGTCGCTTCCGCAATTTCTTGATCTACGTGCAGGACTTTAGAGAGGATGACCCAAAGACCTGGAAGGACTTTGATCCGACCAAAGCGAGCATGCAGGGCCTGTACGATAAGTTTGGCCTGGACACCAACACCCAGGACTTCACGGGCCATGCACTGGCCCTGTTCCGTGACGATGAGTATCTGAACGACCCGGCTGTGAACACCATTCGACGCATCAAATTGTATTCGGATTCGCTGGCGAGATATGGCAAGTCGCCGTATCTGTATCCCATGTATGGCTTGGGCGAACTGCCCCAGGGATTTGCCCGTCTCTCGGCCATCTATGGCGGCACCTATATGCTGGACAAGCCGATCGATGAGATCGTCCTCGGCGAGGGCGGCAAAGTGGTGGGCGTGCGCTCTGGCAATGAAATTGCCAAATGCAAGCAGGTCTACTGCGATCCCAGCTATGTGCCCAACAAGGTAAGCCAATCAGTCAGTCAGCTTTTTGTTCTATTTGCTTACTTATCACACATCTCTCGTTGTGGCAGGTGCGCAAGCGGGGCAAGGTTATTCGATGCATTTGCATCTTGGATCATCCGGTGGCCAGCACCAAGGATGGCCTCTCTACCCAAATCATCATTCCACAGAAGCAAGTCGGTCGCAAATCGGACATTTATGTATCGCTAGTTAGCTCCACTCATCAAGTGGCCGCCAAGGGCTGGTTTGTGGGCATGGTGTCGACCACTGTCGAATCGGATCATCCCGAGGTGGAAATCAAGCCCGGCTTGGATTTGCTTGAGCCAATTGCACAAAAGTTTGTCACCATTTCCGATTATTTGGAGCCAATCGATGCTGGCCACGATTCACAGATCTTCATCTCGGAATCGTATGATGCGACCACGCATTTCGAGACCACTTGCCTCGATGTGTTGAACATCTTCAAGCGCGGCACTGGCGAAACGTTTGACTTCTCCAAGATTAAGCACGAGCTCGGCGATGAGGATCAGTAAAATGGATACATTTGATAATTCGGTTCTTTTGGTGGTTGGATGGATGAATTGATGGATGAGCGTCGTTTTGTGGCAGGCGGCATTTTTGGCCAACAACAACAACAACAGCAGCAGCAGCAGTAGCAGCAGCAACAACAATAACAACAACCAACATCACCACCATTTTAGCGTCGGCATTAAAATAAAAAACCAAAAGCGTTAAATTTACCCAGCAAAAAAATGATAAAAACAACCACAGCAAAAACAAAACAAAAACAAAAAAAAAAAAAGAAACAAGAAACAAAAAAAATTGTATTACAACTGCAACATGCTTTTCCAACAGTTCAACAACAGCGCATAATATTTTTGTGTGTAACGAAATTTTAGACATGTAATAAAATACAAAAACAACATTCATTGTTTTTGCTTGTCACAATAATCGGATATGCGTAGAAAATCGATACATATATAGAATATGCAATTATATATACACCATATGGCATATTACAAATATACAAAAATACATACCTTAAAGCAACTAGCCCAAAACAAAAACTGATTGTTGTGCGCAAAAAACAAAAACAAAAACAAAAAAAAAAAAACAAAATATGATGAAAAGTTTCAACTTTGATGTATAACCACGCCCCATGCCCCTCACCCCACCCCCACCCCCTTGCAGACACTTTAATCCTCGTGTAATGAAAATCAACCGATTTGTCAGAATGCAACGCTGCTTTTACATGAAGTATATATATATATGTATCTATGCTCGATGTGCTTGGATTTCCGTTGTAACATCTTATATATATATATATATATATATAGAGTATATACACATATGTGTGTATATATTGCTATCATTAGTTGCTTGGTTCTGTTTTGTGATTGAAAAGACCCGTATATTATTATATGTATGAACAACCCATAATATGTACACGCATAATCCAAAACTAAGCTGAACGAAGAAAAAAGAAAAAAAAAAAACAAAAAAAAAACAAAAGCAAAGAAAAGCAAAGCAAAGAAAATGATCGGAAAATGTAAATTTGTGCATCCATATATATGAAGCGATATGAAGCGATACGAGAACAATGGTCAATGGTCAATGGTCTACAAAACTATGGTATTCCGCATTTTCTGAATTTACATTTTTAATAAAAATAAATGAAAAACAATGAAAACAATTTAAAACATAAAATATGCTTGCTGCTTCAAGTGTTTTATTCGATTTTTGATAGTCGACTTATAGCAATTATAGCTTATATATAGCTATGGATCAGTTTGATCAAATAACTTTTGAGCTAACCAAGAAAGATTTTTATTTTTGTTCTTGTGTTTTCTATCTTTTCATTTATTTTTATTTTTTTGTGTCTTCCTAAACAATATTAGGTATTACTCTGCAGAAAATTAGTTCATGTATACTTTATCATTTTTTGTTTTGGTTTTGTGAAAGAGAGGAGCAATCCTCGATGCACATCCTAGCAGAATGTGTCGCCTTAACTAGAAGAAGACGCAGCATCCTAGGAATGCATGTTAAGAATTTTAGAGACATAGAAGACCTCAACCCAACAAAGATACTCACATTCGTCCGGGAACTAGAGCTGATGGAAGAGCTAAAGGCTCAGAAAGGGGCCACAATAGGTCGAGTGGGTTACAGTGCAACCGCCCTATAATAATAATATGTTTGTGTATGGAAAATCTTAGAATACTTTATCATATAGTCAGATTCATTAGTATTGATTCGAATTTTTAATTTAAATAACTTGATATACATTTATTTATTTATATTGAATTCTTAATGATTTAATTTATTCGTTTGTCAGTTTAGATACTAGAAAAGCTATATACCTGTCATGTGAAGATCAAGTTTTATCTTTTTTCCACAGACCGATACATATTCCCAACTACATTTTTAAAGTTGCCAGGCGAACGGAGATTATATGGACAGATTGATTAGCTATACGAGTATATATAAATATATGTATATCTCTTATAAGATGGAAGATATACCTAACTTTGCAAGACTGATTTGTCAATTGTATATTACAGAGTATACAGGTACTTCATATATTTGTAATGCAAGCGCAAATATTTATTAAATATGCCCAAGAATATAGAATGAGTGCCTTTATTTTGTCAGGTACAACGAGACAAAGGAGGATCTCCAGTCGACTCCTTCGGTTGACAAGTGCAAGTACGATTTTTTATTGTATATATTCAACTTTCTTAAATGGTTATTGTTGCAGACAGGACTGTGTTGGCACTATTAGGAATTCCACAGCAAGTGTTTGGCATGCATTTCAAGGGTTTGCCTCCCACATCCACTTCCACCTAGCTGCCTCCATTTTGTTCCCCGGACAAGAGTTAAACTCTGGTTAGCTGCCCAGCTTGTTGCAAGAGTCTCTCTCTGTGTGTGTGTCCTTGTTACTCGTAGTTGTAATGCTGTTGTTGACAGTTCTTTCCGAACTGTCCAACAAAATGCCGACTGCATTTTTTCCAATTTCCGTCCCAGCATAGACAAATAAAGAACGCGCTTATTTTATTTACTTCTATTCTATGTGAACTGTCCACGTCAAATATTTGTGCTTATTTTTATTGGGGGGCCATCAACCGAGTAAAGGATCTGCTCCAGATGTGAATAGTGAAGTCAATGTTTGAATATATATATATATAAATATATATAATATAAATATACTCAAATTATAATTAAATTTAAAACAAGTAAAAATGAAGGCATCGTTTTTTTGAATGTATAAGTTTAGAATAGATAAATATAAATATAAATGTTGGCCAATAATCTCTCTTTTTATTTGTTCTAAATCCAATGCGAACTCTTTTCTCATTTCGTTATCCTTGTTGCGACAGCATGATTGTGGTCCCAGCCGAGCACGTCCCACAAATAAGCCCAGCATTTTGCCACACTCTATTTTATGGTTGCATTTTCTGTTTCATATTTTAGGTTTTATATATATTTTTTTTTGGTTGGAAAATTCGTAACTGGGCAAATTAAAGTCAAAAGTTTGGCGCCCAACGCAGCATGCAGGTCACATCCACAAGGGAGTAGATGTGGCAAATTTTTGACTTGGTCATCGTCATCGGCGCAGCACTGCTGGGCATGACTAAGCTGCTTGTGCCCAGTCCGCACTCAGCCTTGCATCGGCCCCCTCTTCCCCTCTGTCTCTGTCTCTATCTCTGTCTCTGTCTATCTGCCTGTTTGTCTGTCTGTCTGTATGTGGTGTCCTTGTCGTTGCATTTGCTGCCGGCTAATGCTAACGAGTGTCGTGTGGCGCACGGGGCTCGTAATAACAGCAAAAACCGCAGAAGCACAAAGCAAAGACGCCTATGGGGTGCAAATGCACTGGAAAAAAAAGACGAAAAAAAAAAACAATAACTCTTGCTGGCAAAAAAGTCGACTCTTTAAGGGAGGGGGTAAATTTGAACATATGCGAATTTAAAGAGAGAGATGCACATTGATCCTGCCACACACAGGCACAACAGCAACACAACAAATGGCAATTAAAGCGAAACCAGAAAACCAAACATGTTCACACAATTAAAAATTGAAAGACGTGTTAATAATAATTATTAAATTTTTATTTGCATACATTCATTAATTTATTCACAACGCGTTGCAACGCCATAAAATCGTTGCGTAATTGTGTTAAAAGTGTTTTCGGCCACAAGATGAAAGTGCAAAAATTGCTTTATCACTCTTTATATATATATATATATATGTATATGTATATATATAGCAGAGGATGGATATATTATGTGTTAATATTAATATTTTAAGTGTTTGCAAATAACTCTTAAATTTATATTTGATTTTTTTAATGAATTATTGAAAGATATATGCTGGACATGATGTATGATGGAGCTATGTAAGGATTTGACTGGCAAATAAACTCTTTTTTTAAATAACAGCTTTATTCTTTTAAGTACGATCCTTAGCCTTAAAAAAGGCTAAAAGAATGTATAAAAATAATAATACAAAACTGAAACAAGAAAGAATTAATATCTTAGTCAAGCCAAAGATTAAATTCGTAGACAAATTGCCGTCATCTAAACTAGACTAAACATTTAAAAAACCGACCGATTGTAGCTATGAAAGCTATATGATATAGAAGACTGATCTCCAAAATTGTTAGGTTAAAGAGGTCGTATTCTAATACGCATTTTGGGTAAGTTTGGCTCAGATAAATTGGTAAGCACAAAATTTGTTTGCAGAAGAACTCAACTCATGGAATCGGTTTACTATATCATGTACCAGGTTCAGATTTTGATATGGATTCTGGCTTTTGCTTGGAATACTGACAGTGTGTGTGGCAAGCTGGCTGATGTCTGCTGATAAATTGAATATCTTAGCCAGTCATTCTTAAGGCGTAATTCCATTAATTATAATTATGGCAGGGAATAACGCATACGACACAGTCCCCTCCCCCTCAGTGCCCTCCCTCCGCAAGCCGAAATCCCTCGATTTTGTGCTGTGTGCTGTGTGTGTTTGCGGCACTTGAAGCTGCCTCTTGCCACAGTTGCCACAGCTGCAGCTGAAACAAATGACGGCAACTTGAGCCTGCTCGCTGTCGCCTTTTTGTTGCTGTTGATGTTGTTCTTGCTGTTGTTGTTATTACTGTTGTTGTTGTTGCTGTTGCAGTTGTTGCTGTTGTTGCTGCTGTTGCAGCTGTTGCGTTTGCTTTTGCTGCTTTTCAATTACTTGCACTTCTCGTCGCCGTCTTCGCGCCAGTTGTTGCCATGTTGCTGTTGTTGCTGTTGTTCTTGTTGCCGTTGCTATTTGCTGTTGTTTGCGTTTTCTTTTTGCCCAGAAGCTTGTCAACAACTTCATTATCGCATGCGGCACTGTGCAACATCATCAAGTACTAACGCCTCCCCTACCACCCCATCACAGTAGACAAGCAAATTTAAATCAATTAAGTAATCTTATTGCCGTTGCTGCTGCTGCTGCTGCTTTTGTTGTTGTTGTTGTTGTTCTGTCTTTTGCTGTTGCCTGCTTTTAGGCATTCACACACATCCCACAAACACACACACATCCCACCCACGCACACACCCACGCACACACACACACACATGCATAAAGTAGTAGCTCACACTTTATGTGTCAAGTATTATAACTGTGGCAATTTCTTGGCATGCATATGCATATCTGTGTATCTGTCTGTGTGTGTATCTCTGTGTGTGTGTGTGTCTGTTTGCCTTGGCTGGCAAACTTTTGCAGTGTTGCATATTTTTGTGCAGATTAATTAAATTGGTGGCATGCAGCGCCTGGCAAAGGGGCAAACTTTTTGTTGGTGGCTGCTGAGCTTCTGTTTTTGTGGCATGGGAATAAAAAAGAGCATTATGAAAGGTTTTTAATTGTTGATGGGTAACACACAAGCAGCACAAACTAAACAGGGAATCAATTAATTGACTAAATGATTTAGATTGCAATTAGGATGCAAAGTTCAAGGCCTTCGATGTTATAGATAATTAAAACATAAAAAACTGTTTTGTTTTTTAAAGATATGCAAACTTAATTAGACCAACAAACATTCAATTTACACAACAGTTTCCCAGTTAATTTATATTTTAATATCTAATTAAAGGTAAATGTTATTGTTATAATTTTATAAAATTCACAAATTACAAAAACTTTAAAATAAATAAATAAAAAGAAAACTCATTAGCAGAAATTAGCTTAAGCAAATTTTAAATTTAATCCACAAATACAAAAATTATATTTAACAACATTATTTTTAAACTGTTACTTTTTACTGTAAATGTAAGCAGCTTAACACTCTGTTAAACCAACGTACAAATCTTAGCAGCGTAATACAATGAGCCGGGCATGGCCACAAGTGGGTCGCTGGGGCTTATCTTCTGCTTTGCGATAAGCTAACGCTGTGTTAAATCCACGCACATAAGTTGGCAGTGTAACGACTGTAAAATCGACACGCAAATGTATTTGGAACATAAAACCAAGCTGTAAAGTTGCTTTCACTGCCTGTAAAGCTTCCTTACGCTGCTCGGTAACAGCTAAAGAGAGAACAACAGTAGTCCATACAGTTCCCCTTCGTATGCTAACGTTAAGAGAACAACTGTAGTCCCCTTCAGTTGAGTATGTTAACTAACATGCAAGGGGACACCATGTAGAAATCAAAACAGCG